TTACTTCAACTTTATCTACTTCTTCGGTCAGTCGAGTTATAGGAACCCCCACATTGGCAACGTCTTGCCACAAAGCACCCTGATAAAGTCAATGACTTGTTGCAAAAAGAGTAATTGAGAAGAGGAGGCATTCTATTTATCTGGCCTGTCTCCGAGCACAGAGCTGCAGATAAAACATCTGGATGTAGGCGACTACGAAGGCAACGACACCCAAAGTGGCCATTCTCTGAATAACGATCCTAAAACAGCCAAGAGTAGGAGAATCAAAGATGTTGTCTAGGTCGGAGAGGAAAATGTGTGATAAGGGAGTGGAGATGCCAACCATGGTGTTGGCAACTGCAATGAAAGTCGCTTTTTATAAAGACAGAAGATAACGCCTTACGAAAATTTGCGAGCACAAAGGTCACCAGTATTTGTTGAACTGATTTGCCCAAACACAAACAACCACCTTTTAAGACTAAACGAATGCCTATTCTAAGACCAAAATTAATCTCTGAGCTTTAAAAAATTGATTATAAGTGCACCGTACAGCATGTTGGCACAAAGACTGCCAAAATAGTGCCATTTTTGGCGAATACAAAGAATGGTTTTGATCAATAATCCAAATATTTCCACTAGATCTAGCGCAAATAACGACACATGTTTAGTTATTTAACAATAAAGCAAGTAAGTACTTAGCAGTGGAGTTGAGCAGCCATTTATATACAGTGAACAAATTTCAACTAAAAAATACTGACAGGGAGAAACGATCAAGGTACTAGCATTAAGCATATTTAGACAAGTACCTTATAACGAAGGTAGATTCTGGTCGCTTTCATCTTGAAATGCGGGAAAATCGTCAGAAACTCGTAAATTCTGAACATGGTGGGGTCTAAATGGTAGATGTAGGACGAGGCTAGTTGTTTGTAATACGATAGTGGTTTATCCCTCGGTTTTGGTGAGGCGCAACTTCTGTACTTCGAATTAGCCCCCCTGTACCTCGCTGGGTGGGCTGGCCTTTTGGGCCATGCCAATAGCCCAGACACCTTCTCCGTGCTGAATATATATATTCTGCCCGAGTATTGTGTCTTCTTTTGTCTTAAGGGAGTCTCGGGACGCTACATATTCTCCTTTTCACTATTCTTTAGGCTCTTGAGACACTTAGACTGATTTGCTTTTGCCAGGTCTACTGTCTACGGCAAATGGCGGGAGGGTACAAGTTTAGGTAGGTTTGGACAAGGAAATTTTCTCCAGGTTGTCAAATGATGGCAGCTCCCTAGTCACAAGGTTCCATTTGTGTCTGCTCCTCCCTGAAAAACCATTTAAACGGCATAGGTATCGCAGTGGGAGCTCATACTGCAAACATGGTTTAAATTTGGCGTCTGTAGAATGCTAAAGCTGGACGCTCATTACAACTCCTTTAGCAAGTTGAGCAGCGGTGTTCGCAGCATTGTTTGCAACTACTTATTGTGCTAGCTGCTAGAGAATGGAAATGAACTGGCGAATCCTGATTTAAGTCACATCCCAAACTGACCCCTTATCAAATGCACAGCCTGCATTTCGCAGTGCTGTCTGATACTTTTGCATACTTCGTAACTTTGCTTTGGAGGGACTTTCGCAACACCCGTGGTGGAAGTGAATAACGATGCATTGTCTGTCAGCTGCATGACAAACCAGTTGCAGGTGGAATCAAGGCTTCAATCCGTCAAGCGCGGTAAATTGCTACTCAATTCATTGTCCCATCGTTTGCTACTTCGCTACAACCGACCCAGTGTCGTAGGCAGCACCGAGTGGATTAGACCACGGTCAATTTCATTTAAAGATCTGTAGAGTCCAGTAATCGCACTCATATCATGCTAACCTTATTCATAATGCAATTACACTCCGAGAGGCGGAAGCAAGTCCACTTAGGGGAAAATCCCTCTCAGGTTGTGTAGATGAGAAACGATGCACTTCGTTTTCCCAGACAGATATGCGAGAGGACAGCCATTGAATGAAGAACAACTTTGGAACCTCGAAAGGCTGTGAACTCACGTGGCTATTTAGCGTGGAGACCTGACCTTTCCAGTGGCATTTCGACAAACTGTTGTACACGTCCCTAGCTAGCATGATAAAATGGG